TTTTTTTGGGGGGAGGGTCAATATTCCCACTATATCTCCTACCTTTAACACTTGCTGTAGGGCACTGACCTATTTTTTTTTAAGTTTTAAACCCTTCTATAACAGTGTATATTCAAAACATATTTCTCTAATATGTTGCTTCTAATGAAATAATAAAACTTCTGACCTGGAACAAAATCTTCATTTTAAAAACCAAAGCCAAACCAAACCAGTTGCCATCAAGCTGATTCCATGTGTGGCCGAGTAGAACTGTGCTCCACAGGGTTTTCAAAGTCTGATCTTTCAGAAGTAGATCTCCAGGTCCTTTCCTCTGAGGCACCTCTGGGTGATTCAAACCGCCAACCTTTCGGTTAGTAGCTGAGTGCTTAACAGTTTGCACCACCGAGGGGCTCTTCATTTTAAAAAACTAATCATTAAAACACCATAACAAAGTATTTTTAAAATCAGATTCAAAGCCACCACTTGGGTCATGCTCAAGTGTTCTTCAAAATGTAAGCGTCCTTTTGTTAAAGTTCTCCTGTACAGGTGGTAACAATGAAAGATAAAAATACATATTGCTTGAAAGGCATCATATAATTTTTATCCAGAATACTAGCAACTTCTAACCCTTTTTTAAAATGGAATTTCAGCAGCATATTAATGCCTGCAATAATGCTCCCAGTAGTGATCCCAAAGACTGTAATGTCCCCAGAAGCCTTCTCAGACATCACAGAGATACAATTAAGGTCAGCAAGATCTGATTTTTATGTATCTTTCTATACATAAAACGGGAACTGTCAAGCACTGTTAAAGGAGTGTGTTGTTGTGGGTACAACTTTTCTAGATAAATAAGGTATCACTTCATTTTTACTAAGTGAATAGAATACTAGAGGGCATACTGTTCACAAAATATTCATTTCAAATGATTTTTAAAGCTTACTTTAGGTAAATAATAGCATGTATAAAGTTACATTAAATGCTATGTTATAATAATAACTAAGTTTTATCGAGCACTTACTATATGCCAGGAACCGTTCTAAAACTTCAAACTCATGATTATGACTTTTTTTTTTTTTAAATCATTTCCACATACTTTTCAAAAACTTGAAGGCTTCTTATGCAATTAGGTTTGGCAAGCTGATCCTGTTGGGGTCTGGAGGCCCTTCTGACGCATGCACAGAAGTGTTCTAAGATAGTACAAGTTACGTGGCTGTTTGCCCTGTCCCCTTCTCATCCTTAAACCAGACCACCAAGCTGTTCTATCCTTGACTCCACCTCTCTGCCTCCTTGTCTCTCAGACCCATTTCCAGGTGGTGCTCCTTCCCTTCCCCTCAGTTCCCTCCTTAGAAGATTTCCATTCCTGTGGTCACTTCCACCTCTGATTCCAAAACCCTCACTGGATCTTTTTTCCAGGTTCTTTCAGGCTATTGTTCATTTCCATCTGCCTTCTTCCTCCCTTCCCACCCCACCACCGCCCCCCTGGTCCAACCTTGAAACAATTTTAAGCATTTAAGTTGCCAGAAGGATGTTTGCCAGTTTCCTTCCAGTTCCTTATTAGTGAGACAATTTCTAGGAAGATGTATCATCTTTGGCAGCTGTTATACTCTGGCATTGCACTCACTAACTTGTATCTGTCCTCTGAGAATTCAGGTTTTATTGTATTCTTAACTGGAAATCGGACTGGCGAAATACACAGTCCCCATAGTATTAACAGGTTACAGTTCAAAAGTTCGTAAGTTAGTTAAGTGGAATACAGTTTCTATATGGGAACAAAAATTATAAAGGTTTCTAACATACACTCCCTATCAGCTCACATCATTCACATATTTGAGCTGAGGCCCAGAGAGGGAGACTGGAGACAGTTCCCAGTCCTCAATCCAGAATTCTCTTCTTCCCCAGACGACTACCATGAACCCGTTGAACCCGGTGCCAGGGAGTCTATTCCAACTAACAGCGACCTGATAGGTCAGAGCAGAACCGCTTCACGGGGTTGCCAAGGAGCAGATGGTGGATTCAAACTGCCAACCTTTTGATTAGCAGCCGAGCTCTTAACCACTGGGCCACCAGGGCTCCGTGACTACCATACCAAAACCAAACCAAAGCTGTTGCCATCAAGTCGATTCCGACTCACAGCCACCCTACAGGACAGAGTAGAACTGCCTCACAGGGTTGCCAAGGAGCAGCTGGTGGATTTGAACTGCTGACTTTTTGATTAGCAGCTGAGCTCTTAACCACTGGGCCACCAGGGCTCCGTGACTACCATAGGCGCTGCCTAAAACTGCACAGTCCATCTCATCCCTCTCTCTACCAGAAAGAACATGGGTCAACCCAGAGCCGCACTAGGAAAATCACAGGAGAACACAAGATTAGTATCAGGGAGCGGAAGGGGAAACTGTTTCATTTGATTAATTATCCTCCTTTTTATAAATTAAAAAACCTAGGCTCAAAGAGGTCAACTTGCCCAGGGTTACAAAATGATTAAGTATCAGAGCTATTGCTGGAAGACAACAGAACTCTTGCTCATACTTTGCACTATACCATTCCACTGTCAAGGAACCCTCTTGACAACTAACCAAAAAGTTGGCAGTTCAAACCCACCAGCCACTCCATGGAGAAAGATGTGACAGTCCACTTCTATAAAGATTTACAGCCTTGGAAACCGTATGGGGGAGTTCTACTCTGTCCTATAGGGTCACTATGAGTCAGAATCGGCTTGATGGCAACAGGTAATAATTCCACTCTCTTAGCAGGACATCAAGGAACCCTGGTGGTGCAGTGGTTAAGCACTTGGCTGCTGACCAAAAGGTTGGTGGTTCAAACTCACCAGCCACTCTGTGAGAGAAAGACAAGGCAGTCTGCCTCCTTAGAGATTTACAGCCGTGGAAACCCGAAGGGGCAGTTCTACTCCTGGAGGGTTTGCTTTTTTGGGTTTAGCGACATCTATGGTTCAGGAAACTTATGATTACCTTCTCCATAACACTTGTTACCATGTGACATGATTTTTATATGGTTATTGACTATCTCCTTCTATTAGACTGTCATTTCCATGAAAGCAGAGACTTTGTCTATTTTGTTCACTGCTGTATCCCCACCATCTGTAATAGTCACTGGCCACAGGAGACATCTGATAAATAATTTTTACATGTGGAATGAGGGCTTCTGGCAGTAGAGAATCCATCATATGGCTGCTTCTTATACGAACCCGCACGAGCTGGGACTGCAGAATAAACGCGCAGTTAGCAAAGTCAGTCATGCCCGGGAGAGGAAGGTTCTAGAGAGCTCTTGACACTGGTGCAAAGCGCTATCACAAGCCAGAATGCAGAGCCAACAAAAAAGCTTCATACGATTACAACAGACGTCCCAAGTCCCTCCGTTTAAACTCGCACACTTTCTGACAGCCCGTGCGCCTGAGTGCTGGCTGGCTCCCTCTTTCTGGGCCATTTCCTTTATTTTAAAAGTAATTCCAAAAAAAACTTGGTTATCTGATTTTTCTAGCTCACAGCAGTTACAACTAGATGGCGTCACAGGAGGAGGCCCGTGAGTTAAAGGAGACGGCCTGGGCCACCACGCGGACAACGGGAGGAGGAAAGACAAGCAGACGTGACACCAGAAACAACACAGTCTGGTATCACTTAGTTTCCATCCCAGTACAGCCCCCCCTCCACACGCACGTACATGCATACACACACGCACGCACGCGTGTATATTGCTCCTGAAAGCTCTGCTACTTCAGAACCTAGTAAATGACTTTCTAAACTATGAAACTTAATCAGGAAAAAGCTTAGATTATGTTCTGCAGAGTTGAGGGCCCCAAGGAGCTATGTCAATCATTTTCATGAAAATCATAAACAAAAAAGTTGGTCATTTAAGGGGGCAAGCAATTAGTTGGACAATCTTGTCACTTGGAACATCCTACCCTTGATGATGGTAGCAGCTACCTTTCTGGGTTTTCTTCTGAGGGCCTATTATGTGCCAGGCCCTACACCAAGTCCTTTATGTACAGCTGTTCTGCTATTTCTCTCAACAACCCTGTTACAAAAATACAAGTATTCCCATTCTAGATTAGGCAACTGAGGTTAGAGAGGGTAGACACATGCACCAAATCAGAAAGGAGCAGAGTCAGGATTCAAACTCAGGTGTGAATACCAACAGCCCAGGGAAACGAAGCTGTAACTTCAAGAACAACACATTATGAGGAAATGCGGCTTCTTGGAGCGCAGCGGAATTTCAGCGCGGCTCCCCAAAGTCAGGAACCCAAACCTGTGTTTGCCACCCTTTGCGATTCATTCTCTCTCTCCCGTGTCTTCAAAAGATGGAATGCTCCTTTGTGACAAAGAATTCAACAATATTTATTATGCATTCACCATGTACTACACTGTAATAAATACCAGTTATTTCTAACCTCTACGAAGCCTCAAATGTTTTCTTTACCTTTTATTCTCTAATCAAGGAAAAATACAGGATCATCATGAAACAAAAAATGTGAGAGATTCTGATGAGTCTGGGTGACCTGGATGAAGCTAAAACAAACTGGCAGTAAGAAAATACCAAAATCTAGATTTCTCAATTCACTTTCGGGCAGAATGCCATCTTTCAAATTTCACCACTTTTTTTTTTTTTTTTCTGTTTTGGTTCTACATTAAAACAAAACAAACCCAAACCCACTGCCGTTGAGTCGATTCCAACTCATAGCAACTCCACAGGACAGAACAGAACTGCCCCATAGGGTTTCCAAAGCTGTAACCTTTACAGAAGCAGACTGCCACATCTTCCTCCCGCGGAGCAGCTAGTGGGTTCCAACTACCGACCTTACGGGTTAGCAGCCGAGCACTTAACCACCGCATCACCAGGGCTCCTTAGTCTCATGTTAGATAGTATTTCAGAAGTATTTCTGTTAAGATGTAGTAGAGCATTTCAAGCTAGAGATACATGTTCTCCTTCAACAGCATAAGAAATAATATTCCCAAATAGGATCAAAAATACTTTACTTTACCTTCTGCTTATATAAACTTCCAACTTACCATATCTGTGCTAAAACAGGTTGAGGTAACCCAGATTGAAAAAAAAAGTTTCTAGCTTGATCACCTGTAAATTAAATGGAAAAAGTTTCAGAAGAAAACAACAGCTGACAGAAATCCTCTCACAGCAAAATCCCGAAAACAAGAAAGGGGCTGGCGAGCCTGTAAACAAGAATTGAATACAGGATAAAAGTCAAATGCTACGTCTGTAAGAAACAGTAAGACGAAGCCACCAGCAATGACTTTAGAACGCAACACTTTCAAAAATCATCTCAAGAAGCCAGCCACTTGCAGCGGGGCAGGCTGTCGGATTAACCTGCTGTTAACTCGGATGCTCACAGCTCCACATTTTGGCAAAGCACAACTACAGGAATCCTGAGGAAACTGAGGACTCGTATTTCTACTTTATAATTACTATAAGAATCGCCAGTCCCAATGCCCGCATTTCAAATTTTAGGTACTTCTGATATCGTTGTGGAGGATAAGCAACAATGATTTAAAAGAGTCAGCATCAACAATTCAGAACTAATAAAGAGAACTATGATAATATACACAAAAGCAAATCCCCAGGAAATCCAGATCCCATTTTTTCTAAAGCTAATTCCTGAAGAGTAATCAAACAAGAAAGATAATAGAAAAGGCAAAGTACAGAAGGAACTCTGGGGACACAGCAACAGGAGAAATATTTCTTTTTTAATGTTCAGAATCTGTTACATAACGTATTTAACAGTTTCCCAGACCAGTTCACGACCAGAATTAAGTAACTCTTCTAGCTCAAAGGCCACAGCCTAAAGCAAGGAGCTTGACATCCACTGAGGACTGCAAACAAGGTCGGAATGCACTGTGGGAAAAGCAGATGTAACAACACAGACTCAAGGCAAAGGCAAGGCAGGTAAAATGTCCCCTAGAGCATATGCGCCCACCTCAGCACTGCATAATTTTCCACAGACATACATACCACTGACAAGTAAAAGCATAAAAACGCTGACTACAATTACCAGTAATAAATCCAGAGATGGGCTTTAAACTATGGAACTGTTGATCATGCTTCACTCTCTCCTCGACAGTTATGGCCCAGATATCCAGGCTGCCTAAAATCCAGAACAAAGACAAATTATTCAGCGAGAAAAGCAAAGCAAAATGCACCTGTGCTATTGCCGTTGTACTTTAAGATTCTGTCACTGAGTTACAAATGGTATGATCAATGAAGCCCCGTTTGTCTTTGAAAGTTACACACTGAGGATTCAAACAATGTCAGAAAATTAAAATTAAAGCATGCCAAGACAAAAAAGAGTTAGCAGTGATGGACATAGTGGGCAGTGGGCATTCATTCAGTCATTTGAAAACTATTTCTCGAGTGACTTGTATGTGCCAGAGACTGTGTTGGACATGAGGGATAAATGGTGATGGAGACAGACGTGCTCTCTTCCCTCACAGGTCTTACCGGCCTGCAGCTTCTAAAGGGATTTTTATTGTTCTGCAGGATTAATCCTTGGAATTATGAACAGAAGAAAAAACAAAACAAAACAAAAAAAACTTGTCCAAAAATTTAAAAGGGGAACAATAATAAATACAAAATGAAACAGATCAACTCTAATGATTTTTAAAGTTTGCCCACTTCTGTGCTGGAATCCCACAGGGACCTTCACGAAAAGGCTGGTGCTTCCTGCCTCCCTTCTCTCTCCACGATAACGAGGTTAGACAGCTGCCCGGGGGATACGTTAACACGGCGCGCTCTCATTCTTTGAAATACTCAGCAAGAATAATAGTTAACGATTTCCTAATAACACTTGGAAAAACTACCTGAAAAACACATTTTATTCGGACTGATACGTTTCAAAAGGATGAACTTTAAAAACAAACAAAAAGTCACGCTTCCAATCCCGGCTTTGGAAAAACTTTCGCACAATGACCCAGTCACTCTGACAAATAAACTGCAAAGAAAACAGGGATGGAGGGGGAGCTCACTGACTAAGACACTTAAACCCGTTGCTGTCGAGTTGATTCCGGCTCATAGTGACCCTACAGGACAGAGTAGAACTGCCCACAGGGTTTCCAAGGAGCGGCTGGTGGATTTGACCTGCCGACCTTTTGGTTAGCAGCTGTAGCTCCTAACCACTGCACCACCAAAGATCTTAGGAGACACATTAATTGACTGTAATATATGCAGTTTGTTTGGATCCTCATTTGAACAAACCATTACAAAAAGCTGTCTAAAAACGATGACTTAACAGTTAACAATAGGAAAGAATTACTATAAATTTTTATAGGTGTGACAATAGTTTTTAAAACAGTTCTTATCTTTTAGAAACACATAGTAATTTATGGATGAAATGATATGATAAAACTGGCAATTACTTCAAAAGAATCCAGATGAAACAATGTTGGCCCTGTGTTGGTAATTACTGAAACTAAATGGCCGCATGACAGTTGATTACACTATTCTATTTTGTGTATATTTCAAATTTGCCATATACTATTTTTTTTTTTAAATATGGTCCCAAAATACATTAAGCAAAGAAGATCTTTTAAAACTTACCACCAAAAGGCGTTGGAAACTGAGCCATGATTCTGTTACTTTGATCTTGCTAACGGACGCCTGTAATGAAACACAGCATTTTAAGCTTATGCAAAGTCCAACCCTGTGCAGTCCTTATAACGTACGGATACACTCTAACTGTCAGAAGACTGATTCCAGAGCTAGGTACAGTTCTGTGAAAGAAAGTCACAGCTAAGGGCTCCATCCTTCACTCACTCCTTCTCTGCATGGCTTCTCAGGTATAGGAAGCTTTCAGTCTGGTGACTGTTCCCACAGCTCAGGACACCCTAACATGTGATCAAAGTTGTATTTGTTACTTTTTAAATATACTTTGTTCTTAAAAATTGAAAGGAGTCCTTTGGCACAGTTGTTAAGCGCTAGGCTGCTAAGCAGTCGGCTTCCACAGGGAAAATTACAGCCTTGGAAACCCTGTGGGGCATTTCTACTCTGTCCTATAGGGTCTCTATGAGTCTGAATTGACTCGATGGCAATGGGCAGGAGTTTGGGTAACCATCTATATAACCTTGTCTATCCACATGAAGGTCATAATAACAATAGATTATTTTTATTGAGCATTTATTATAGGCCAAGAATTGTCCTAGGGGATTTACAGGTCTAATCTCATTTAATCACCATCACAGCTCTATAAGGTAGATACTAGTTTTACCATCCTCCCCCTCCCTTTTTTTGTTTTACCATCCCAGTATTATAGATGAGAAAAATGAGAATTGAGAGGTTAAGTGATTAGAAGAATCTCTGGCGACACAATATAAAGAGCTCGCCTGCTAACCAAAAGGTCGGCAATTCGAATCCACCAGGCGCTCCTTGGTAACCCAATGGGATAGTTCTACTCTGTCCTATAGGGTCGCCATGAGTTGGAATCGACTCGACAATAGGTTAAGTGATTAGAATAATACCACACATTTGGTGACAAGCTGGGATTTGGGTGGAAGCAGCTGACTCCACAATCCATGTTCCACCCATGAAAAACTGGGCCTGCACTTCCTGCTGAAAGATCTTGAGAAAGGCTTCACATAACGCATATAACAATGAAGTCGGTTCAGAAACCAAACATACATCTAATGCTCCAAAAACCTCCAGTAGGCATTATTAATTCATGAACAGCCAATACGAAATAAAGCCAGTCCTCTTCCCCAACTAAAAAATGAGTATTTTTTCCTTAAGCTGAACTTCATTTTAACAACATAGTGTATGCACATTGTTAAAAGCATGTACGAAACGGCTTTAGATCAAAAAATGACAGCCCCTCAAAGGACCTGACTAGATATTTCACCAAAGAAGATGTATCAATGGCCAATATGCACGTGAAAAGATACTCAAGGTCATTTTGAAAAACCAAACCCGTTGCCACTGAGTCGATTCTGACTCATAGCAACCCTACAGGACAGAGTAGAACTGCCCCACAGGGCTTCCAAGGAGCAGCTGGTGGATTTGAACTGCCAACCTTTTGGTTAGCAGTCAAACGCTTAAACCACTGTGCCACCAGGGCTCCCAAGGTCATTAGTCATTCCAAAAAAAAAAAACCAAACCCACTGCCATCGAGTTGGTTCCAACTCATAGCGACCGACAGGACAGAGCAGAAGTGCCTCACACGGTCAGTCTCAGAGTGTGAATATGACTCCTTGGTGGCCATTAGTCCTTGTGGCATTAGCTCACAAAATTTCTCATTTTTTTTATTTTTTATTTTATTGTGCTTTAGGTGAAGTTTACAGGACAAATTAGCTTCTCATTCAAAAATTTATATACAAATTGTTTTGTGACATTGGTTGCAATCCCTGCATTGTGTCCACACTCTCCCCCTTTCCACCCCGGGTTCCCCGTGTCCATTCCTCCAGTTCTCCTGTCCTTTCCTGCCTTCTCGTCTTTGGTTTTGGGCAGGTGTTCCCGATTTGGTCTCATATACTTGACTGAGCTGAGAAGGACATTCCTCAAGCGTGTTACTGTTTGTTTTATAGGCCTGTCTAATCTTTGGCTGCAAGGTGGACTTTGGGAGTGGCCTCATTGCTGAGTTAGTAGGATGTTCAGGGATAGTTCTTTTCTTTTCTTTTTTTTTTTTAAGGTTTTTGAAGAGGTAGGGTGGGGCATAGTCTATGCTGAAACCAGAACGCTTTACTGGAAAACAAAATTACTCATCTTAAAATTAACATGTCTAGTGTTTTCTGTAATGACTGCCCTTTACTAAAAACTTAAAGACCAGTGATTTTCCAAATACCTTTATGATTAAATAGCAAATGCGCATAACAGCTATTTCTAAATTTCATGTAAGTTAGAATAATGTATAATTATTCTACAATGGGAAATGCAAAATAAAATGTGGTATAGAATAAAAATCAGACATTCTTAAAAATGTCACCCATTAAAAACTTGTCCATCTCAGTAAACACAGAGCAAATTCTTCATCCCTGGGTGGCACAAACAGTTAAGCACTTGAATGCTAACCTAAAGGGTTGCAGTTCAAACCCAGAGGTGCCTCCGAAGACAAGCCTGGTGATCTGCTTCCATAGGTCACAGGCTTGAAAACCTGTGGAGCAGTTCTACTCTACAACACACGGGTTCGCCATGAGTCAGAATCGACTCAACGGCAACCAGCAGCAACAATGCAAATTACAGTAAAATATGTGAATAGCAAACTAAACTATCTATAAGTGTATGAACAAAAGTCTAATATGACAGAAGACTGGACAGGAAGCCTCACTGAATCAGTATTTGACTTGTGTAAGAAAATATATATGTCCCTCAAGAGTATATATAAATTACAAAGGCTTATAACATGAGAAAAAAATTAAAACAGCTTTCACTGTCATAACTAAAAAATAACTAAAGAAATAGTTAAAGTACTACATGAATTTAGAATGACAGGAGAGAAGTAAGCTTGGGTTTCTCCATCTCTAAAGTAAGAGCATTTGACTGGGTATTCTACCACAGCCTTTCCATTTCAAATTCCAGATATAAATCCTTAATTTACTCAGGAAAGGTTTTCATTCCCATGCATCATATGGAGCTAAACTAATTAAACATATAAACAGTTCCGTGTCAGTGATTCTTGTCAACTCATTAAAGCACACAAAGATTGTCTTAAAAGAGCAGATTTCCAAGTCCTTATCTTATTTGATAAAAACTTAGGGGTCTACTCTGAGAATCAGAGATAATGATCTTCAGTGAGGATTTACTGGCACGATGCGGCGGGGAGGGCGGGGGGGGCGGTAATAAGAACACTTGTTCAAATTATACTTGTTTATATATGTAAGGATGTCTATATAGTATATACACATATATACATACACACCACATACACATATAAGTGACAGATAATAACTAAAATTTCATTGAGTGCTTACTAATATACCTAACTTGTGTTAAACAGTTTAATCCCATTAATAACCCTATGGGTTAAATAATACTAATATCCCCATCTTACAGATGAAGAAACTAAGGCACAGGTTAGACAGTTATTAAATGGTGGAAGAAGTCAGTCTGATTCCAGCACCCATGATCTTAGCCTCTTGCTTTCAGGAGTATGAACTTAACTGAACAACCATAAAGTAGTTAGACTGGTAAACCAACTGACGTGGAGCTGGGGGGTGAAAGGGGAGGGGGGGGGGGAGACTTTCCAACAATAAAGGCACTGTAAAACAAAAGGCAGGAAGAGGGGGAAACTAATTAAAACAAAAACAGTGTCATAGGAGACCACAGAGGAAGCTGAATGGGGGTAAGAAGCTTACCAGGATGTTACCACAGAAGTCCTTAAAGAAGTTCTTAACAAAAAAGTGAAACTTCATGAAGTGTAAGCGTTCTCATCATATGGAGGAGAAGGAAGGCAAGCTGGACATCAGATATCAAACAATCCAAGAGAAGGTCTAGAGCAGTGACAAAGTGAGTGATGGTAGTTCCATCCAGTGATAGGATTCCACAGAATAAGTAAGGTAGGTCACCTACACTGAGAACAAACAGAACAGACACCTACCTACAACAAAGCAAAGAAAGGCATTCTTCTAAGGTTTCTGGCCCTCCCGCCTGGGAAGCAGCAAAGCAGGATTGCTACCCCAGGGTGCACAGAAAGACCAGTCAGCCCCGCAGGGATGCAGTGCTTCTGGGGGAGGATCTGGAGTTCTTAGAGGCAGGAAACCTACAGAGAGAAGGCAGACACCATGGTGACAGATAGGCGCCATCCTATTTCCTACTGCTTCCTTCTCAAACTTTCCTAGCTTACAACAGTGCCTACAACATGACTGTCAACATTTTCCCCCCTTTAATTAACACAGTTACACAGATGATCACTGTGGTAAATTTAGAAAGTAGAAAAAAAAGACCATGATTTCACTGCCCAAATCGTCCCGTTAAATTAACAGCCTGGTGTTCGTATTTCCGTCCAGTCTTGTCTTATGAACACGCAATTCTGTTTCCTTCTCTTTCAGACTTCACATTGTAATAAATTTATTTCCCAAACTATTACAACATTTCATAAACATGTTGCTGGACTTAACTATTAATTTCAGAGTGAGGCAAACACTCCACTGTTTACACACAAAAACCAGAAAACACAGACTAAATATTGAGCAATCAAGAAGTAAAATAAATAAAGCCAGGTAAAAAAACAAAGGTAAAAGCAAAAACAGTAGTACAAAAAAGTCTGAATAAATGTTTGATTTTTTTAAATAAAAAGTCAGAACATGTCTGAGAAAACTGTTTTACATATCTTCATTTCAATTTCAGAAAAGATAACTAATTATAGAAAGTCAAAAGAATAGCTACTCATCCTTAATTTCAGTATTTACATTAAAACCTCAACAATTAATGTATTTAAACTAGAAGACCTCTATAAAAGTGTATTTCTAAAAAAGAATATCTCTTAAAGTAATATTTATCAAAATATCATTTTGCACGTTAAAAAAAAATGTGTTGAAAAAGGCTTGATACGTGGCTTCCAGTGTACTGCTATCACAAATACAGAAAGAAGAGATTATTCAGAAAATATGAAAAAGTTTTTCAAAGAAACAAAATTAAAAACATGTATAATGAGGGGGGGAAATACTAAATAG